TCGCTCTGGGGTTGAGCGGTGCCCTGGCTTTCAGCTGCAGAGAAATGCTGGTCCAGTGCCATGGAGGGGGAAAAAAAAAAAAAGCTAATATTTCAATAAACAGGAAGTTTAAAAGCGGCGTTTTATTGCTGTAAACAGTGCTTAAGGCCTGGCTGTTGAAATGATTTTGCTAAATCTGCGGACGGGCTATGTATCTGAGAGGTAAGGCTCTTCCCCGTAAAATTCAAATTTCTCTTTTTCTTTCTTCCCTCCTCTTTTTTTTTTTTTTTTTTTTTTTTTAAGCATGTGCTAGCAAATGCATTTATGGATTGCTGCTGGTTTTTAAGGTAACATGAATAATATGCATGGGGTGATGTTACAAATATGCCTCCAGAATTACTTGGCATAAATTATCATGTTAATCTGAAGGTGATTTTTTTTTCCCCCTTCCCCCAGACGTAAGGAGGCAGAATGTCGATTCTGTTTATAAACATTATCATTTTGCAAGCAAATGATACCAAAAGAAGGCTACAAAGCAGAGAATAAGCCCATTTACTGTGTAGATATGAGTCAGTCTGCTGTGCTGCTTTGTTTTCTTTTAAAAAAATTAAAATCAAAAGTCAGAATTTCACTCATAGTACCGATCTGGAAAGAATAATTGTAGAAAACACTGTTATCAGCAGTGGCTTTAAAAATTTCACCTGTTGTAACTTAAACAATTTAACGTCGCCTTATATTTTAATAACTGTTGTCCTTATCAGGAAGAATGTTTGCTTTTAGGCCATGATGGAGCAGCTAAAGATAATCATCCCTTTAGCCTCATTGAGAATAACGAGGCCTGATAAACTGAAGTGAATGTGTGCTCTTTTCCCAAGGAATTAAAATTAACTATAATATTTGCAATGAACATACGTGTTTCAAGTACATCGCCCTGATTCTTTCTCCTGGGTCTCAGAAGATGTAAATATTCTTATTTAGCATTTGAGCCCCTTGGCAAGTAGCCCGATGCCCTTATTAAAATATTTTAAATCTCATTATTGTATCCCACTAGGAAGGGAATAAGAAAACACTAAGAAGAATAAAATTTATATTTAAATAATTTCAGCTGTAGATTGAAATCCCTTTGAGCAACGCTTTAAAAATATGTGTCCTTCAGAAGTAAAAAGGGTTAAAAAGCTCACAATGAAGTAGACTATGCTAGTAGAAAGATAATTGTCCAGTGCATCTCTTTGTTCTGTGTTCTTATCTGTTTTACCTATTTTTAGCTGTGCGTTGGTGAAGCAGGCATGTGAAATTAGCAGCCCAAACTGCTAACTTTAGCATATTTTATAACGTTGCTCTTTATTGACCCCCAAAGGCAGCAAGATTTCAGTATCGGAATTCCTTAACGTTTGACAAATAATGTCTGCTTTGGTTTATTATCGTGTCAACCATCCCGAGAGTAAGCTCATGACAAAATATTTTGTCCACTTGCGATTCACTGCTGCATTTCAAACCAAAATGAAACAACCAACCGCCTGTCCCCAGCCTGCCACGGTTTTCCAGTCTGAACAAGGGATAGGTGTTTATGGGGTGGCTGCAATTCATAAACAGATGAGAGAAGAGAGAGTTAAACTGCACCCTCATTTTTGTCATTGTGAATGTAAAATAGTACTTGGGACGTGAGTGGCGTTTCTCTGTTCATTTAATGGCATCGAGGGTATAAATGGGTGCAGTCAGTGGTGTTTTCTCTGTCCTCCTGTAAACACCCACCCCCTCAGTAACATAGATCCAGTATTTCTCCATTAAGGGACGTGTTATTTCATTACTGAATTGGTAAATAAAATAGTAATAATCCTGAGTATTGCTGTGGTCATGCTCAGTAGAAGAGTTTAGTCAATGAAACTGCTATTTCGAAATGAAACTACTACAGTCACCTTTGTGAATTTTTCAGTTCAGTGTTGTCATATGCAGTTAAGGAGTAGCTGGAGCATGCAGCTTTTGAGCATGCGGTATACTACATGTAAAAAGCTCATCATCGTAAATATTGCATATGCTGTGATACTTTATCGTAATGTGGGGTTCCTGATAGCGTGACAAAACAAATTACAAGTGCCCTTACGTTTGTCAGTTTGGTTAGCTCTTGACTTCTCTTTCTGTATCATAAAGATAAATAGCATCTGCCCTTTGTTAAAAATGCACAGTGCTTCGATTTACTAATCTCTCTGTTTCTAAGAGTTATTGTTTTATTTACAGTGTAAACAGAGTGGTCACAGTATGTAGCCAAAAGTGTGATCCGAGAGATTAGGATTGGGCTGGCTGCTGTGAAGCGTTGTCATACAGATACAATAGTGCAGTTGCCAACATTTTGAAAGGTAAAGCCAGCCCCTCCGTCTCGAGTAAGAACATCTACTGCAGATTGGTGACTAGGCTGGGGTGTCCCTTTTGGGGAGAAAATCGACATTATCCCAAAGTACCTGTTCACATGAATACCATAAGAATGAAGAAAGAAAAAAAAAAAGCAGCTTATTTTACAGGTAAATAGTTTGAACAGCAATAAGTGTGTGGAAAAGCACAGATTTAAATGTCTTTTAAGTAAAGACGCTGAGAAGCAAAGTGATCTTTAATTTGCTTATGTGAAACGTAACACTTAACTGGAAACCAGGCAGGTATTTTGGACTACAATTGCTGGTTGCCACTT